CCCCCCCCCCCTTCCTTCTCGTTTCTTCCTTCTCTTTCCTCTTTGCACCCCTGTCTTCCGTTTCTGGCCGTTCGTATCGCGCGCGTCATCGAATTGCGCCACTTTGGAAATCCCCCTCGTGGAAACTGTACCTACATTACCGGCCACAGATTATTCCAGCTTGAAAAGCTTCCGGTGTTTGAGCGTGTTTCCCGCGAATTAAATTTGTACCGGCGCTCGCACTCCGCTTAACAGCGATATTATTTTTTCTCAATACGCTCGCCTCCCCTCCCCCACCTTCCCCACGTGCGTTTGAACGCGACGATAATTTACGTCGCGCTCCGATCGTTCGAACGCCGCCGGCGGGATAAAGAGGCGCTTAAAAACAAGGAGGGAGATTGACCATGTACGTAAGTACGAGGTGGCATGACTACACACGATCAATCGGCCTTAAATTTTTCAGGAACATACCACGCTGCCACGCGAAACCGGTCTCGCGTACCGATCAGTCTTCGCTCCTTCTCCCTCTCTCTCTCTCCCATAACTACATATTTATTACATCTAAATTTCAGATTCGCGTGCGTTCGTAATAAAGCCCGCGGGTAATTTTGCGGGAGAGATTACCGGCGAATTTTCCTCGTTCCAGAAATCGAACGATCCCACCACGGGGAGGAGGGGGTGGGATCGTAATCTGCGAGTCACGATGTTGCCCACGAGGTTGCCCATTCGCCCATCAACCGCGCGGTATTAAACGGCTGCACATCCCGAACGGCTCGAAAAACGCCCGGTATTTGAACTTCTCCGCTGACGTTATTGACTTTACGAAGATGTCCTTTACAGCGATGATTTTTCCATATTTTCGTTTGCATATTACGTGAAATCTATTACAAAATGTTGACATATACGAGCTTCATAGAGACGGTAATAAGCAGTAATTACAGCGTTGTGTGTCAATTTTTTTGTAATGAACTTTATATATAATATATAAATAAAAATATCGTAGACTCGTCCTTCGGAAGGACATCTTCGCAACGTCGATGAGTGTAGTCAGCGGAAAGATTCAAATAGAAAAACGACCGCTTTTCGAGCCGCTCGGGTGTATATAGCCCCTTAAAGATCGAGGTATGTTTGGTCTCGATGGAAAAGCGCGCACCGGCCGGCAGAGACATTCGTCATTCGAGTTTACAAAAGCCTCGTTACGCGCATCCGCGATACGCCCGCGCAGCTTAATCCGTCCTTTCGACTCGCCGGCGTGATATCGCCGGATCTGTTGTGATGTATGACGCTGTTATCGCACAACAGCCGCAACTGGAAGGAAGATCAAGCGTCGTCCGTACGTCCGTCCGTTCCGCAGTCGCAGCTCGCGAACGCGAAGGTGCATAATTACCGGCTGTTTGCCCGGGTTGCCTAAGAAGCCGCTGTTAATACATCGCGGATGATAATGGCTGTCTTCATTAGCAGACGTATAGACGCCCGTAATCCGTTCAAGTTAGCTTGAGTTCGGCTTACCTGTTCTCTCCCTCCCTCCCTCTTTCTCCCTCACCACCCCCCTAGGAAAGCAGATCAGCGTCGTCCCGGTCGATCTCGGTAATCTCCGCTATCTCAGCGAAGCATGATGAATGCAGGTCGTTAATAGCGAGGACTTTGGGGATTTCACGTCGGGATACAAAAGTGTGCCTTCGCTCGCGTCCTCCCCACCCCTCGTCATTTCATCAGCGTTTACATTCGAATCAACGTTAGACGTTTTATAATTCATCTCCCGGGAAGAAATCGGATTCAAAGCGGAGGGATATAACGAACGGGACAAGCTCTCGTGTTTATAATGTGTAATGTGTTCTTGTATGGAGAAAGAGAGAGGGAGAGAGAGAGAGAGAGAGAGTTATAAATATGTATTAATAGTTACAAAATATTTTGAAGAATGGAATTGAATGATTTCGTAATGCTAAATATCTAATAATAATCATCAAACATTCGATAACAGATATATACGATAGCTATTACTATGTGATTTAATCGATTTAACTCTGAATAAAAGCCATTCATATTGCAGGCCAACTAAATATTTGGTAATTAGGTGCTAAATTTCGCAACAGTTGCCAAATATTCCGAGATCTCCGGTTAAATGCACTTAGTAAGTAATTGCCGGTCTTCTTTTCCAGTGCATATCGCTGAAATGTCACTGTTGTAAATTACGCGCTGTAAAATACGCAGCGCAGTCTGCATTTTTCTAAACGGATACACGAAACAGCGATATATTTTACCAGCGACATTGAGAATTCCAGCTGGGACTAGCCGGAACGTTTCCCCGAGCGCATTTTAACGCGTCTCCGGTGTGCACGACGATTTACAACATTTTTACATTCGCGAAAATATAATATTCAGCATTCCGGTGGATTTCGCGTTCGATTATCCGCGTAACGTATGTTGCGGCATGCTCGGCGCGTTTCTAGATAAAGCCGCTGGTTTCGAAGCGATATCGTCGCACGGGTACCGTAACGATACGGAGAATCAGCACGGCGTGATTATCTTGCGCATTTCCGAATATCCATTTCGCGGCCTTCCGATAATAATTGGCGATCGCGCAGTTTATTCGCCGCGCGAACACGGCCGGCTACGGGCTCTCGTAATCGCGCTCACGCTTCGAAAACGCGCGGCTTAAATATCCACAATGCGCCGTTGATTAACGGGGGGATTCGACGAGCGATGGTAAAAACTTGATAAACGAATCGTAATCGTGAACACGGGCTTTCGCGCCGCACCTCGCCGCTCGACGTTACGCGATGCCCGTAATGATTTATGAATATTAATCGAACGGTTAAGCCCCGGTACTCGAATCGCGCACAATCGAGCGCGCTGTCAACGCGTTCGCGGCTTCGATCGCGGAATTAAACGAAACGCTACGGGCAGAATGAGTGCGCGGCATGCACTCACGATTCGTTTACATAGCAACGATTGCGGACGACACTCGCGCGTCGATACGTTGCAATGCGCAACCCTCCGGAGTAGTGGGTCATGACATTTCGGGAGAGCGAGCCGATAATTATTATTATAGTGATTAAATAGCTACGAGGCCCGCGCGGCCGCTAATGACAACCGTGACCGAGCAGAGGGATATCGACTCTCTTAACTCGGGAATAGTCACCTGGGTTCACTTCATATCCCAGCGATGAGAAAATGAAGCTTATGCTGCGATGGGTTTTTCTACTGATCGGCAATCAATATCTACCTTTCATTCAGACATTTAGAGGTTTAACGCGTGCAACGAGAATCAGTTGTGACCCGTCTTATTCATGGTATATAAGTCTGTAAAAAGCTCGTTTCGGGCGCAAAACATATACGCTTGAAAGTTTCGAATTTTTTCACTTAAAAATAATTTTTATGTTATACATTTATGTAATATACATAAATACAAATATTTATGTATAACATGAATATATACATATTACGTACAACACATATAATACGCAAATATGACATATGCTTTCAATCATATGCCGTATTTAACGTAATCCGTATGACGACGAGAGATTTCGAACTCGGGTTCCATCGGGACAAGCGTATCTTCTCAAATATGGTGTAAATTAATTCGATAATACATAATTAAGTATATTTCGGGCAAAGTCATTGACAATATCTTAAGAGTGCAATTAAAATAATAAAAAAGAAGTAATAAATATAATATCTTTGTTCACTGTTTCTGCAATTAGATTTCTCCGGTGGAAACGGTTGCTGCTATTAACAGGCTTTTGCAGGGAAATTTTACTGATTTGCAGTTCTATACTTATATCTATAACCACTATTGACTGCTTCTCAGTGATAATACACTGATTGCACTTTAGAGAGAAGATATATTTATATATTTCTTTGTATCTTTTATTTTACTTCTCTCTCTCTCTCTCTCTCTCTTTCGCAGAGTATGAATAGCCCTACGAGAAATTGAGGAACGGTTGGAGCACATTTCGAAG